TCGTCCTTAGGTTCGCCAAAATATTCCCACTTTTATTTTCCTTATGTGGCAAACGTCGAATGTGAGGAAATTCAACAATACTCAAACGTTGCTGGCCGATGGCGAGTTGTATAAACATTTAGGAAATGGATGAGTGGCTCTAAATGTTGTTTGGGCGCTACATCCTGTCTCTGATGTTGAGACGATTTGAATTTATCCTAAAAACAAGCCATAGCTTGTGTGTCTTTTACTATGGTGTGCAAATTATTTCACCCCTCTGGTTTACTTGGGTACCTGGTGCTGTACGAGATGTTGCCCACCCATGGCGAATGTTGAAAAGGCTTTGAAGAGTGTAAAATGGACAACTATTTGCGCATTTTTTGTGTACACTTACCTTTTTTTACAAACTAACTAAGGCCTTCCTAAAAGTACAAGTACTCAATCAGAATAAGTTTTTCTTTTTGAAACATATTCCTTATTTATTTAAATATTACTTACCACTTCCTTTTATCCCAGTTCACACTTATCCTCAGGCTCTGCAAATGTCAAATCGCATCAAAGACATGCAACATCTTCAGCCTACTCAGGTGTATTGCATTTTCTGCGCCTTAAAACAACGTCATTTCCAATTATCCACAAGTGTCAGGTTGGACTCCTTGCGGGACCACATTGCAAGCAACACATTGCACTGCGCACAGCTTGTAACACACGTGGAGTTAATTCAAAGCGATGGCTCTGGATGCCTTGTGAACAGCCACTACCTCAACTTTTTCTCCTCGGAAGTTTTTGCAAGCCTACTTAAGGTGCCGCGAATTTTACCAACGTTCGTTACTGCCATTGTTTGCATTCGTTCCAAAAGAAGGTAAAAATAGTTTCACGAGAAAGCTACGAGGGGTTGTTTCTGTGCAAATAAATGGGAAATATAATTGACCGTGTATTGCTTTCAACATCTTAAATTTACATACACACCGTGACTTTTGCTCAGTTTGACTCTGTCTTGAGGCTTTTAGTTGTAGTTGCAAAAGGAAACACTAAAATATGATTGTCTTTTAGGAGGCATCGTTATTATTTTATTACCCTGAAACGAAGACGACCGAAGACTTAATGTCAGGGCAGAATAAGTATTGCTAGCTTAGAGCGGGGGTTACTGACGCGGACTGGCGGTCAGACCACCCAAGGAAAAAACAAAGGCGGAGCTCTTGATACCCATAAAACGAAAATTAGATTTTAAAAATAACCCTAGTTTTGTGGTTGTTAATGCGCTTAAAATCAGACAGACGCTTACAATCCTTGCGTCGGTAGAGTTGCGTCTGTTTTTGACATGCAAAAGTTCCTTAAGTGTTGGCCTCATTAACCGGGTATAATTCCATTACTTGCCAACCTCTTTTCTTATGCTAAGGTATAAGTACACGTTGAAGGAACAACAATTCGTGACCATTTTATAGTTCAATATACAATGCTTCGACAAAGTGCTGTCATAAGGCTAGTTGAACTATGAAATCTCTTCTCTCTACATTTGCCGCAATAAGAAAATGGTGGGCATTAAGAAGGGATGGAGGGGGCCACTGGCCTGCCCCTTTGGCCCCACCACCAGTTGAAGCACAGTTGTGATGATTTTTACGGAAAGTTAAACTTTTAGAAGTGCGAGGCTTTAAGCTAAGGGAATAATGAAGAACATTTTTTAGGTCCGTACATGAATTAAATATGGTAATTTTACCTTCTTCCCATGCACACAACTTAGTTTAATCTTTTAATTTTTTGCACGCAGGGTCTACAGTTACAACCGGTTTGGTTTAACGCATTGGTGGTGTTCTCGAAAATTGCCTGCTGGTCTAGAGTTTAAAGAGATCGACTTCTAGGTTGCAGCAAATAAGATAACTAATCTGGCAGGACTGCATATACTTAAAGAAGTTAGCCTTAACTGTCGGAATTTTGTTTATGTTTTTTGTACCACTTCCGTGGACGGTACAATCTCTTGGGTGGCTTCTTTAGGCGGCGTAGCTGCGCCTCCTCAAAAAAAAAGGTGCAGCAGATGTTCTTGCCTTTTTTTCTTCTCGACCATGCATAACAGAAAGGCTCTTAATTGCTCCAACTGAAGTGAAGTTGTAAGGTGTTTATTTGTGATATTTAAAATATGTTTGGTTGACTTTGCTTGCAAGCGAAACAAGCCACTTGTTTAGCGGTCACTTTATTATGGCAATAAAAGGCTAAGTAATATTTAGTGACCCGAATTTCGAGGTAGACTTCTACATTGTTAAACTGCTAGGTTGATGTACTTTTTTGCCAAACACAAGCCATAGGTTTGTAAATGCAGCGATGGGCCTGCACTTGCTGTAATCTTCTGTGCATAACGTGCAATTTAAGGCAAACCAACTTTTAATGAGAGGCAAAATAAGACTAAACCAACTTCCTCTCAGGCTAATGTCTTAGGTAAGCTAAATAAATGGATTTCCTTCATCGCTATGTCCTTAAAATTCCAAATTTATATTCTTCAGTCCGGTAATCAGTCACCTCAAAACAGGCATCATTGCTTCGAATTTTTCCCGTGGTTACTTTTTACCAGGCTACTAGCTTACTCAAAATAAAATTAATCCTGCTTGTTGATAGAAAAATTGTTATGAAAATGTAGTTGCACATTGAATCCTCAAACCCTGAAACAGCGAAAAACCTTTCAAAATTCCCACTTTGTTGTGACTATTTTGAAGGCGCTTCAACATCCAAAGTTAAAGACACTGTAAGTGAGGCGCACAAAAAGGTAAAAGGAAAAGTGTGTGCCTCAACATTCTGCAGAATTAGCACCTGGAACTCATAACATTTTTTTTCTAATGAGGCCTACCTGGTAGAACACTAACTTACATTTTATAGCCGTAGAAGTTAATCATATGGGGATTTCGGGTTCACAAATGTGAGGCAGTGGGGAATCCATAATTTATGCAAGAACATCGGCCAAAATGCATTCCACTTTATTCACTTATTCTCAAGCTTACGTGGACCACTTCAAGTAGCACCGTATTGGTGCTGTTTGAAGGGAGGGCGGAGTTATTATGTGCAGTGGTTCACACAGTTCTTCCACACAACAGATCCTTCCAACTCCATCTTAAGCCTATCACTTCCACTGTGGATGCCAAAAGTAAGTTTCGTGTAATTTTTTAGTCGGTCACTCATAATTTCATTCCGCTTGAAGCTCATAAACTGCTAGTCTTTTCGAGTGTTTTCTGACAGCTACGTTATGAGGGCGATGTTTTTAAGACTAAGTCTTTATCAAGCATTTGTCAGTACAAAATCGCCTCTCAGATATCTAAAGTAAACGAGAGAAGCATTGTTTGCCATTCTGTTTGTGAGGAAGACAGTTTAATCAACACTGCAAGCCTTATCTCATTTATAACGGCTCAAGTCATTCATTAAGTAAGAAGTTCTTCTGCTTCGGCTCCATTATGCTTCAACAAATTATTATTTGCCTAACTCGTTCAGGTGAACTGTTAGGCCGACTTAGAAGCAGTTCGCAAGCATCTGGTGATTCTTTGTCAAAGAATGCTCGATCGCTTTGGACCTTGTTTGATTTGACTTCTGTGGCACTAATAACTGCCACATTCTTGCTCTTTTTTGTTTGTAACAAATCGCATGCCTTAAACGAATGAATGAACTTATTTTCTCACTGCGGTCCGTATAAGTCTTCGCCTATTGGTGGGATGTTTGAGGTGGATACTTGAAGCCCCTCACTCCCAGCTCTACAACAACGTTTAAAAAAATTTGCGTTTGTTTTTCAACAAAAGGACTTTATTAAGAAACTTTACGGATGTTTTTTTGCTTTTACTTTAGGAATGAGAACTGGTGTTTCATGGTGTTTTGGGGGAGATGGAAATTGTCGAGGTGACTTTGTACCTTCCATGTACTGCTCGGAGGAATTCAGGAGAGCCGAAACCACAAGCAAAAATGTATTACTCTGCCTAAAACCCTTCACTCTACTCCATGGTAGTCCTCTGCATTAGACTCTTAAGGCTTTGTTATACTTTCTGCAACTTTTTTTTGAAGGCTTGGTATTTCTTTCAATAGTCTGAATTAAAAAGAGTGTAAGATTTATCAAGACTGAAATGTCCACTGGCAAAAGACATGCTCCTCTAGTAGGGCCCTTTTCGTCGCCACTTTTCAATAAATGAGTTAGGCTAACTTTAAAGTTTAAGAAAAGAATCTACAGTGACATTTCAATTTCTTGTAATCGTTGGAAGGAAATGTGGAGGACAGCCGTATTAATAAATTACTTTTTAATGAAACAAATCCAATGCGGCAAACTGCATGCTTATTTAGTTGAAACAGGCTGGATAGTGCTCAATTTTAAAATCGTGCATACGTAGCCTCACGGATGTGGGTGGAGGGTTATTGGAGCACACTGCGTTGACACGCTTCATCTGTGTTTCGAGGGCTTTAATGCTTCCGCAACCCAACAGTCAGTAAGTTTCAAAGGAAAGAATGCTGGAGAATAAGAAACAAAGCTTGACGTCCCCAGTAAAATGCCTACCTCGTTACACAATCAGGCGGCTACATCAAACGCTCTATTTTAGTGTTTGGAGTGAATGGCACTTGTATAAGGGAATGTTTATTGTGAAGTTGACATGATGTCCTTTATCACTTTTACTACGCAAAAAATGGTAGCATCACTCACAGTAATGTACAAGTTCCCATAGTTTCCTCCCAAAGCTTAGGTCTCAATGTCTGTGCTCATTAAAATAATGATTTCAAAAGGTATTACAGAAAAAGCGGTGCCAACAAAGCTTCCCTTTTCAGCGTCTACGAACTCATCTGGTTGATGAGCAGGTTGCTCAAGGCGTGGCACCTTTAATTGACAGGCCTAAAATTCAGAGCTTGCTGTCTAGTCAAATATTAGAGTTAATTGGCAATGTAATCATTCGCACGACTACCTACCTTGTTGATTTTCTTACTTTACTGTTTTCTACCTCAAATCCATTTTTAGGGTTTATTAATAGAATGAAAATGTAACCTGATTATCAAGAATATTATTATTTTTAGCTCTCGATTTCTGATGATACTGCTGGCTCTGTAGAGGCGTTGGACTCGCCTCCCACTGCAGCATTTTCCCGACTCGCACGCACACTTTCTGCGAGGATGTATATGGTCTCACCATCATCATCACCATCGTCACCATCATCATTGTTCGTTCCTTCGGCTTCCTCATCTTCCATCCCACCGTCCTCCTCTTCGTCCTCGTCTGTGGAAGAAGCAGTCGTCTCCGTGCTGCCTTCGCCTTGTTCTCTCTGACTTTCGTTCCGATGCGGACGCCTTCGCCTCCTCATTGCTGTTCGGACTGATTTACTGGCCTTTCTGCTGAAGAGTATTGGATCGAGGGCAAAAATTAGGACAGCGTGGACACAATCTCTGGTTGACAAAACTTCAGGTGCAATCCATTCCATATACTCGGAGCTACTAATGCCACTGCCCAAAAGGTGATTCAGCTTTGTTTCTGGCAGAGTTGATATCCGGTATGTATTTTGACTGAAAGTTGAGGTAGCGGCAGCGGCGGATATGACAGTAGTATTAGTGGCATTGGTTTCTGTTGCATTCGATACGTCCTCGTTTGTATCGTTCAGAGTAGTGCACGGTCCGTCTATGTAGCGATGCCAGGGATCAATGAGATCGACACTCTCCTCATATCCGTGTGAGGACTCGCATTTGAGACTGACAAGGGAGAAGTAAATTGGATGACCTGCAAGGCTCTCTTCATTGTCCGATCTGAGAAAGTATAGGCGAGTTTTTGACTTTTTGATCTCAATCTTGTAGGAAACTTCTGAGGATGCCGATGAGGAAGTAGGGGTGGGTCCATTCTGATGGATTTCAATATTCAGCTGTCAATCAATAAAATCGTCTACATGATTGGTAACTACCTTAGTCACACTAAAAAGAGGTTCATGTATAACATTCTTCAAAGTTAATTTCATTCCTAACTTTCCTCACCTTCGCATTGTTCTTTTTTTATGATGTTAAAATTTAATGTGTCATGCCTTTTAAATCACCTTAGTGTTTAGTTTGTAAGAGTCTTAAGAGATGGCTTGACTAGGGTTTAGTGACGACCATTTGATGTGTTTCTCTTAATGCTCTTTAATGACAGCACTGATGTCTAAAATCTGAGTCTCCTTAAACTCTAACAAACCATAAAATTAAGAAAGAATTTCCACCCGTTAGCGAAACTCAACACAACAAAAATGCTAGTTCAAATCTAATTTATGTTAACAACATTTATGCCTGAAGAAAGTGCAGAAAGTTTGTACCTTTCTATGTTAGATGGCATCTAAGCTCAAATTAGTTAGTCTCTGGCGAGCTAACTGAAGCTGACATCTTTTGCCAAAATTTTAGTTGTACGCATAGCAATTCGCCCTCCAGTTGTTAGGGGCTTGTACTGCTCAACGCAGGTCTATAAGCGAGAGGGAAATGAAATAGACTGACTCACTGATCTCCTATCGCTTGACTATTGCTACTGTGAAATCCCGTTTCTGAAAGATTATTTCTGACACGCTGGTTGTCAGCGCAAACTATAGTACCCAATATCTCTGTAAACAATCATCTCTTCCACTCTGGAGACCTTTCATAGTTTCAATTTTAAATTTAGACCTTAAAAAAAAATTTTGTTTTCATCATAAAGCTAAACTCTATGTTATGGACATGAACCGTTCCGCCTTCAGGATGGGAAACGATTAACTAAGTTTACAAAAAAACCTCTGAATAAGCAAAATGGGAAAAATTTATTACAAAACACGATTGTGGTAGATTCATTACAAGTGGGGACCAGTTAGCTCAAAAGTGAAATTAAAATTGCTGAAAATTAAGTTTACTAAATGCTAACTTTTTGAAAGTACTCCTATTAATCCGGAAATAATGCTTTCACTCAATTACAGCTGGCTTACTTGTACCCAAAGCAATTGTTTTTGCACCAAAGGCATGCAAACCGGGGGGCTACTAAACAATACATCATTTCCTTCTCCATGCACCCGATCTAAACTAATGGGAAGCAGAACAACACGAAAGCCACTGTGAAAACGTCGTCCGAATCGCAGTTGTTGTCGATTCTCTAGAATCTGCAGGAGACCTCGCCAAGGATGAAGACGAACAGCAGCGCCTGAGAAGATGCCCTGCATTCTGCGATACATCTCTTTAACTAGATTTGAGGACGTTTGTTCAAGGATTCGGCAATTTTCCATATGGTTTTCTATTTCTCGGGAAAAACCTCTCCACTCACAACCCAACCAGGCATTTCGGCATCTAATTAGCCGAAGACTGCACTGCACTCGCTGGTGAATATCGATGAGTTTTCGGGGACGCAGAATTCCACAGTAACGACAATTGACAGGCAGTTCCGCAGCCAATTTTTCTGCCAGGAGACACCGTTGCATTCCTCGACCATCGCTGGAGTTTCGCAAAGACACACGACAAATAGGACAGGTGCAGGAGGTTTTGCTGTCATTTGCTGAAAATGACACTTGCTCCAATCTTGCAGAACATGGAAGGCAGATGAGATGGCCGTTAGCGCACTGATTTGCTTGTTTTGCAAAGTCAAAACACACGTTACAAGTGAGAAGCTGTTTAAGGGGAAGGAGCGAGGCGAAATTTATGTCGGAAAGAGTAAGGGGCTCATTTTCTGTGGTTGAACTCAGACACACTCGTTTGGATGCTGAAACATCGGAAGTGTCAACACTGTCTTCCCAAGAGAACTGTGTTGCTGCACAATTGTTTGCATCATCTTCATCGACTCCCGGTGATGCACTACCGAAGGCGACTTGGAATGGGCGTTTCAGACAACGCCACAGACCTGGAAGGACCATCAGCACGTGCAATCTGTGACATGGAAGGATCAATAGGTCATGCGGGAGGTGTTGAAGGTCAGCTGATGTGCAGATGATCCAGCGTTCTGAAGTACCTGTTGACATGAAGGCAAAAACCCAACTAAATGCTCAAACACCAATATTCAAATGCTGATATTCCTTTATTGTGCACACGGGACGGAGGTAGATTTGTTTCGAAACTTTATTGCATTTGTTATGATCCCTATCCTCCTTCAATTGGTAATATCCCTGATTTACTTAAATTAAGTCGTTTGTATGAGCAACTCGGAATAAATAAACACACAGGATGAAGTATGCAAGCTCTGAGCCGTAACACATTTGGTCAAAGAATTTGTGGTTTGCATAATCATGAGCCTTTTTTAAACTGCAAAGTAAAAGCTTAGAGTTAATGTTTTATACTACAATTGCATCATGGAGATCTAATCTTTGCTTTCAATTCCCATAAAAGTCCAAAAATAAAGCTTAAAATTAGGAAAGACTTTCTTTTTCAAATGCTTCCCACCAATAGAAAAATGTGATCAACTTCTCACGATATGGGGAAGTCACGCAAACATTGAATTGTCAAGTACTCGAAACCATCATAAAACGACAAAACGTAAAGGCGTGTCATTGAGTCGAAAAAGAGACTTCTGCATGTGTAAGGATTGAAAAGCCGATTATTCCATCAGAAGGTTCAGTCAAGCTAGACGAATGCGGGTGGATTTATTCTAACTCACGACGAGTCCTTTTCTCTTTCATTCCTTCTAATCAGAACAATCAGAAGTTAGAAACGCAGATCTGGAAGTTGGGACAAAAGTAGATGGTTTTTATTCATGCCATCTATCTTACTCTTCCAAAGGTGGTAAAAACATGGTAGCGTAGGAGTTAAATGCAGCTCCCATATGAGTCGATTTTTGCATTTTCTGGAGAGGCTAAGCTATGCGAAGAGCTTTTCAAGATTTGTTCAAAGCTGTGTAATACCTTCAAAGAAATTCACTGTCATTAGTAATTAAGAAAATGACTGCAAGACACACCTGAATGCAAAAGATGACATTTAAAGAATGTGTAATATGCGGAGAAAAGGGATTGGTTAGGAGGAAAAAAGGTGTGTCAGCAAAAGATAAAACTGGTGGTCTGCGTACATTCTCTTAGCCTTCCTTTCTACCCTATTCGTCAAAGAGAAATGTTTCACTAATGTGATTGATGCTAAAGAACAATGAAAAAATATAGTCCTCGGTTATTCGCGAGCGCATTCCATATTCCAATGATTTGGAGGTAGACGTTGAGAATATTCATTTGCCACTAAGTTTGGGCACAAAACCATGCATTTTCGCACCTACTTTGGTGCAGTAGAAGGCTTTTATTTTCGTTTTCTTGTGATGATCGCTTCCCATCAGGAGTTAATCTGCGTCCCACGTTCAGGTGGCGCCGTTTCCTAGCCATTAAACCTGTTTAATTGGCTCACATGAAGCTTCATTAGCTCGACCACTACCCCATTGGATTGCCCTTTGAAAAAGGATTCACGAAATCTTACTCGCGAACCAGCGTTTCTCATTTTTTCTGCAAATGAGGGACATTAGTTTTTTTAAAGTTTTCGCGTGCTTTTTAAAGTGGCTCAATGAACCTCGTCCCTTCAATGGGTGATCACTCGCTTTCAAGATCATGTTAATGATTGGACATACGCCACTATTTCACACGTACTGAGACAATGAGGGGGATACTTTATGAACCTCTTTAAAGATTAAAGTTAAGCTCACTGTAAAGTAGGAAGTGGGACTTCTCAACCACGCACTTAACTTTGCCTACAATTCTGATACAACTTTCCCTGTTATTTCGGGAATCAGTTCTATCACAAGGTAATTTTTGAACTTGTCCCATATTTTTAAGCCGGGTGTGGATCAAGACCTCAGATGTAAGAAGCGTTTGAGTAGCGGTTATGGACACAGAAAGTGGTCGACTCGTGGACAGGAATTATGGCTCAAAGAATATGGAAAGTTTATTTTATTATCAGTCCACACGCAATTGTTGCACGAGATGGTTAACGAATCGCCACTGGAGCCGGAGTTAAACAAAAGGCGGGAGCATGGATGTTGCAAAAAAATTACGAAGTTTAGGTCGTAGTAGCAAACGCAAAGACTTGTATCCTTTTTGGAACATGTTCTTACCGATGAGCTAAAATAGGTTCGAATCATATAAGTAGTATACACATGATTCACTCCTCAACGAAATTCTTGATTCAATCTTAAAAGCCATTTTAATCTGCTCGCTTCTGGAAGTTTGTGTTTACGTTCTTCACCAAGCAATGAACTGAGATTTTTTTGTTTCAACAATAAAATTATATCGTGGAAGGCTGCTACAGAGAATTATCAATTCATTGTAAAACTATTTTTCTTAATTAAAAAGAAGATAGTCTTTTTTCCTTATAGTTTCTTGAGGATGAAGGAAATTATAATATCAAGGGGGGAAATTTTGTTGCCATCGTGCAGGAGAATCGAGTTAATACTGTCAGCATCGGTTACGGTCATCTGAGTGGCTATTTTGACATTGCTAGACACGCTTTCCTCCGGACCTTGCCAAGATTTTCGATTCCTTTACAATTTGTCCGAATATATGCATCCCTTCGAAGTAATATATTCTCTGATATCTATGGAGGGGTGTTGGGGAGCTATCTCGAGGGTCTTCGTCTAATTAAAGTTGGAAGTTAATCAAATCAACAGTTTGTGTTAGTAATTATACGATTTTACAGCCGCAACAGGCAGTGCCTTTGAAAATGTGAGTAGAAATAACGAGCTTTAAGGCAACAACTTAGAACAGATTTTGTGTGCCTATTTTATTACTAAATAAGTTCAATTACCTTGCGAGTGTTAATATCGTGGTAACAGTAAGCCTTCTCAGAGTGCCTCGGCCTATGTACGTCACGCGAGACGTCTCAGTTGGCAGAACATTGGGCAATTAAGTCAGTCAACGGAACCCTTAGTCGCACCACTTCGTGTTTATTTTGCTGCTTTGATGGTAAAACCAGAATTCTGTGAGGTTTTTAAATACCTTATTTGGTAGTCTTAATGGCAAAGTCATATTGAATGGCAGCAAAGTTAATGGCACGAAAACCGTTTCCAAACGCAATGATCCGCAAGGAGGCTGTAATACTGGTGCTTTACGTTCAAAACTACATTTGGTTGCGCATCTGTGTGCAGTTGCACTGTTCCACTTCTACCAGCCATCATGGTCTTCAGACCAGGTCGGTAGCCCTGCAGTACTTTTGTCGGTCAAAGTGTATTATGGCCCGACCTTATGCCCTCTTTCGACCTCGGGGAAGGATTGGGCCTCTACAGACCGGTATGAATGAATGAATGAATCTACGTCTATACATACAGGTCGGGAACATAAATTCCCCATTGAAGTATAATGTGATCTCACAGGTCACAGTGCACATTTTTAAATGACCGTGGTGTTTTGAGATTAACTTCACTAAATTTTGATTAATAGAAGGGCTTTGGGCTAATAACACGACCTGAAAGACACAAGGTGGAGACCAAGACCACCTATAAATGAAAACAAGCTACCGCTAACAGCTAACACATATCAATAGTTTTTATAGCCTAACTTAGCTGCAGATTCAACAAACATGAGCGTCATTGACTAAGCAAAGGCATTTTCTTCCATTTTACAAAATATCGCCAATTTCGACACCCATGTTACAGTAGCTGAGTAAGACGTTTTGATTAATCTCTTTTGAAGGAAAAAAGGGACTCACCTGGTTAGGTGGGTGGGGCAAGGGAACAGGCGTTATGCTAAACGTGGTAAATAAAGCTGCTGCACGAAGTAGTGCCCTCAAAAACTCTAAAAAAATATAATTCGTAGTGTGAGAAATTGGCACTGTTTTTCCATGAAAAATTGACCAATAAAAAGCCCACTCCATCTAATTACCAGTCTCCTAAAAGTCAGTAAAAGACCAGGTTTTGGCTGCGATGTGGTGTTAAAAGGATTGACTATAAAATCATTTGTCGATGAGTAAAAGATAGGTAAACATTAAACATTAACCCTGTACCAGCATTTTAAAAAATTTTTGGAACGCATAAAAGAATTATTGTTTACGATACGATCAACACTTTGACGTAACTGCTGACGGTAGTTCAAAATAAATTAAAATTTTACTCAAAAGAGGGGCTATTTTGTTCCTTTTAAATGGTTTTGCTTTCGACAATTATTCTTAATTAAGCAAGTTGTCAGAGAATGTAAAGGGATCCGACACTTACTCAGTCCCTCCAAAAGAGACACCTTTATTGAAAGACTAGTCGACGGTAATTTCCATATGGTCTTAAGTGCTACGAATCACAAACTAACTTAACTTATTTAAGTGTATGTTCAACTTTTAAGCTGAGACCTCTGCCTAAAAGAAATGACTTTCGATGCGAAGAAAGTCTTTAAAATCGGCGCTCATTAGAGCGAAGACAATAATCGTTCCCCGAAAGTCCACTTCCGAATGTTTACGCAAAACTTTGAAGTACTTGTCACAGACGCGGAGAAAGTGGCGTTAACCTTTGGAGTTAGCTCCAGCTCCATGTTTGCTGAAGCGCTAATGAGGACTGAAGCAATATTGACTGTTTAGAAAATTAGTTGCTGAGGTGTCAACCTTATTTGAATTAAGATGTCGCCAAAACAGTTGAACTACATCTGCACCTCCTTACTAGCCTGTTAGAAGTCAGATAAACAAAACTGGGACGAAGTGACAAGGCGGAGTGGGTGCAGCGCCTTGTTGCTACAACAACTTCAGTTCTGTACTTCGCTAAGGCGTCTGTTTACGCCTCAGCGTTCCTATGATTGGGGATAAAAAGTGAAGACGACTTTCACGCATACCCTCTCCTGGACCGACATATCACTTCCCTTCAAACTACTAAGGCGACAGCAGTGATAATGCAGTCAGGTATCCGCTATTTTTTTTGTCTGACTGATCAGCTTTAGGGTTCATTTTTACAGCCCTTATTGCATTTCGAAGAACAACGCAGTAATCACCGTGGTCGAGGCTCAACGGTTAAGATGATCATATTATTCCTCAATTATCTTTACTTCTTACCCATGGCTTGATGTGATGGTAGGCATGAACT